GGGTATTCCCACCTCCACTTTGCTGGTGTAGGAGAAAAAGCTGCAATGTGAACTCACCGTTCACTGGGGACATATCAAAGAAGATATAGGAACACTCATCAAAATAATTTCACTGGTGACAGAACAATTTCTTGATATATGGGATCAATCCTTGTGTCATTGAACATGCTTTATGATTTTTTTTTTTTGCTAAGTGGAACCTTAGTTGTAAAAATAATTGGTCTCTTAATAGCATAGGCAGAGTCTTTATGCAGGAAAAAATATGCAGTGTATTTGCCCATGTAGAATAATATTTCATCATCATTGTATCTCTTCTGCCAGGGATGCTAATATTTAACACCCTTCTATTTTGAAGCTGGTTAGCATTTGCTCCAGAAAGAGAATCATGGTAGAGGAAACTGAACTTAACAGGGGCAAACGTCAAACCAGTGTATATCTACTTGTAAAACAATTAGGTGAAACTGCAAAAATCGGGACATGCAAATGATCGCAGCTGAGGGGCTGGAATTCTTTTGATCAAGTTAGTTAAACTTTCCAGGAATTCAGTACCCATGTAAAGAAACTCCAGTGTAGACTCAGGATAAAACAGGATTAGAGTTTAGGATGTTGCATGGCATGCTGCCTGTTCCTGTGAGGAAGAAGTTTGATAGGAGGTGCAGTCCTGCTAGGGCAGAAATCACTCTTGGACCTGCCCCATGTCATTCCCCAATGATTATATTCTTCGGTCATTTGTTCTAGGGGAGTGTCCATCATGGCCCCTTCCCAAATGCTCATATCTGGGCTGTCGGGAAGGAAGGATATAATGTCTAAGAAAAAGTCAGCTTGTGCCCAAGAGCTGCTAAAAGAAAGCACTTTGTCAGAGCCTGAAGTCCTAGCACCCACACCAGACAAGTACCTACTGCTGTGCATAAGCGTGGCATTCAACTGAGGTATGAGCAATCCCATCTGTGTAAGGCAAAATACAGTAAAAGACATTAGACAGCATCACGCAAGTGTCTCTTTAAAGGCAGTCTGTGTGTGTCAGTAACAGAGTTCTGAGTCCCAACAGAGCGAATAATCCAAAATGAGAAGCCATGTAAGCTGAGTTGAGAATATCACTTAGACATAAATGAGCCTAGCATCTAGAAATGCTGCCCTATGTCACCTGAGTGACAGTCTCTTTTACTGAGCAAAAATTGTGTTTATTGATAAAATTTAGTGAATGTTAAGTTGCAGAAAAGAGATGTAGTTACATGGCATCTAGCTCAGTTGGAGATGAATCCAGCATAAAAACTTAAGATATGCCCAAATGCCCATCTGAATTGTTAAACTACCCTCACAGCACAGTGTCTTCTACCAGTTCTGCCGAGGTGGTGGATTCCCACTTATCAGTCATCCATTCTTTACTTATATAATGGCTATCCAGAGCTGGTGGCAGCATAATGGCTTTGCTCCTATGTTTGACTGAATAAAAGGGCCATATAAAGATTAAGCAGCTGGAAGTTACTCTTGGATTTTATACGGCTTAAAGGAAGGAGCATGCTTAGTTAATGGTTTAGAGACCAATCATTTCTTCTTTCAGAAAATCTCTCTTGGGGAAAGTTTGGGTCTGTTTGCACCTGGCCCCCTACAAATTCAAGAGGGAGAGCCTTACTCAGTCATTACATCATCACTTAGATCAGCTCAAGATTCTTGCAGAGAAGGACATAATTGGGTGGTTTTTTATTGGCTGTAACACAACAACTAACATATCTGTCTGTTTTTCTAGATCAAGGTGTGCCTCACATTTGTTAAGAATACATAAATTTCCCATTTTTCACTTATTTGATCAAAGCATTTAAAAATAACTACAAACTGTAGTTACTTGTATATACTTGTAAATAATAAGTAGACATTCCTCTGATATATATCAAGCATGAGCCACCAGAATGACAGATTTTGGAAATGCAATGGAATCTGTCCTGTGCTGATTTAAGTGTATATGTCTGTGTACCTCAGAAATATGTGGTAGGTAACGATACATTTGCTTCATCTAACTTTTTCCACACCTTCCCCAAGCCAAATTTTTCTTGCTTCCATTTCTTACTTTTGTAGGACTATTCTCTCACTATCAAAATTCTGCAAAATTCACTGCAACACAGACACGCATCTTGGTCACTTGCTGTCCAAATCATCTTCACCACATACTGCCTGCAGACCTGCTCTGAGGCATGAATATGGCTTAGCTTATGGCTGAAAAGATACCAGGAGTTGTAGATAAGCCTGTGGGACAACAAAATGTGCTGTTTTGTTTTGTCTGTGGGAGGTTGGGGAGTGTATAAAAGGTATGCATATGAAATTCAGAGATTTGTTTATTATGTAGATAGGAATCTGAACTGCCAAAGTTTAGTCTAATTTTAAAGCTCCTTATGCATTATGTAACTCTTCTCCTTTTCAGTAAAATGCAAAGTTACAATGGAAACCACTTCATTTCCGATGTGTATGATTTCATTCTTTTGAGGAACTACAGGGCAAAATGTCCTCTTCAAAGCCTGCTTCATTTTCTAAACCTGTTGTCGCATTTATCTTCTGCTCAATATTTGAATGTACATCTATCAGAAGTGGGTATGCATTTTGCCTCTTGATCTTAATTTTGATCTCTGATTTTACTCAAATTCCACAGGGACAATTTTTAACTTCCTTCTCCTGTAGGAGATTCGGGATATTCTTTTCAGTCATAAAGGAAAATAGGGATAGTAGCTTGTGAAGAAGAAAGCATATGCCCTGTTCTCCTTAAAGTGGTTCCTCTCCCCAGGTCCACGGAGCATGACAAGGTCTTGTGCTTCATATGTCATAGTCCTGAAATGTGCTCATGGGGGTTCTGGCTCTTCCTTGCACACCCACAATGTTGTCTCTTTAACTCATAATCAAGCTCGGAGTTTGCTGGATTTAGACTGTTTTTTAGAGCATGTGCATTTATCAAGTTTTCCTGTTTTAGCTAACTTAATGGTTTTGATAGAATCAACATATATGTCCACCTGTAAGATGAGAAGAGCATCCGATTTGAATACATGATGTAGAACTCCACCAGTAACCTACAAGAGCAGAAGGAGTTGGGTAAAATCTCAGAGGGGGCAATGAATCAAGAGTGAGGAGGCTTGGGCCAGTTCTCTACTCTGTTTCAGGAAATTACTGTGTGACCTTCGGGCAAACCACTTTACTTTTTCATTCCTCTGACTCTCTCCCTCATCTTTATTTTATTCCTTTCTATTTAGACTTTCAAAGTGCAAAGGCAAAAGCACGTTCCTATGATAAGCAGTTTCAGCGTAAACACTGATGTACAGATTTAAAACAAGGAGGCAAGTATCCATCTGGAGGCCTCCTGTAGGTATTTGTTAGCATGGTTCACTGCAATCTATCATCAGTGGATGGCTTTCCTGGATGAGGAGAGCCTGTGTGCTTGCCCAAGCATTGCCTGAACTTCTCAAACATTTGCAGAAGAGTGTTTGCACACAAACATATCCTGAAATGCACATTAATTTGTTTTCATGTGGTCTTCATGGCCTAAAATGTCTTTTGGTCTGCCTTGCTCCTGGAGAAGAGCTGGTGTGACGTTGTGATGATGAGCCCCCTTTCTTCCCATTCTGAATGCACATGAACTGACTCACTTACTGATCTTGTGTGTGGGTAATTCTAATTGAAATGTATTTCTTCTTTTAATATTATAAAATACCAAGCCATTCTCCTTCCCAAATTCAATTTGATTTTTCTTCTGATGTTTTTGCTGATATGGGGTTCTAATTTCTCCTGTTTCACATCTTTAAGAAAGGAAATGAGATGATCAAGTGGACATTAGAAATCACAATGCATCTGAAAATATTTTGGAATGTGTTGATTAGAAAATTAAAATAAGTATTTCTTGCACTGATACCAAACACAGTAAATCTGAGATTGGAAAAAATTTGTATGAGGAAAGATTGCAAAGATGGTTTTAGAAACAAGCTTAGCTTCAGTTGTGAAGTTACTGGACACATTTGTGGCTTTTATCAACATGACTTTGCTTCAGGATACAACTTAGGACCCAGAATAGTCTTGAAAATTTGATATATTTAGTAGTGGGTGGGTGTGAATCCACTCCAACAGGATGATTTAAAAAAAGCACCGTTTCAAAAACTTTGTGTGTAGAAAAGTGAGGTGAGGGGGCAAGCAGGCCTCTGCAGGATTGTTCTATCTTCCCTCTGACAGCTGACATGAAGAATTGTTCTTCGTCCCTTTTGACTGGTGGGACAGTGGGTTTCTGCTGGAAGCCGTTGTTCCCTGCAGTCCCAACAGCACTCCTGGTCTATTTTTGGTGAGCAGGTTTGCAAGACCTGTGGGAGAAATGAGTGTACGGCACCCCTGCCCCCATCCTGAACTGCCTTTTGAGACTTTTTGCAGCTGTGGTACTGTGATTTTCTTTCTCCAGGGGTGCAAGTCATAAAGCCCTATCTAGGAGGAGAGGCTGGAAATGAGCGTGGTGAAGACTGCATGTTCCCCAGGACAGCTGCTGGAGCAGTAGTGCTCCCCAGTCTTTTCTTTAGGTGAGTGCGGAAAAGGCTTTAATGATCACCCCGGAGGCTCCGGCACTGGCGAGGTGGTGGTGTGAGGACGGGAGCCCCGAGTTCAAGGGGCAAGGAGGAAAACAGGTTGATTCCCCCCCCCCCCCCCCCCGCCTCTATGCCCGATGCGGGATGAGCCAAGTTGTGTGCTGTATGCCCCCGAGGAGAGCTGGGATGCTGTGCGGGAGAAGAGAGGGTGAGAAGAGCGAGCGGGCGACACGCGGGTGGGCACCGTATCTGGGCGGCCTGGGACACCGCCGTGCCGGGCGGGAGAGACAGCGAGAGAGAGAGAAGAGGGAGGGAGGAGCGCTGAGGGGCGGGCGGGGCCGGGCGGCGCTGCCGGGCGCCCGCCGCGGCGTGTGGGTGGCTCCAGGCGGCCGGTACCCAGCGACAGGCGGCGAGGTGGGAGGAGGCTGGCGGGGCGGAGGAGGAGGAGGGAGCTCGGCGGTGCTGCGGGCGTATCAGCCGGTGCTGGACTATGGTGCGGCTCGGCAGGGGCTGACACGGCGGCACCCCGCCCGCCCGCCCTCCCTCCCTGCCGGCTGACAGGCACGTGTGGGATGTGAGAGCTGCCCTCGCCGGAGGAGCATGAGCTGTGCCCAGGCCGGCATTGTCCAGGTACGAGGGGCTGCTGCCGCCCGGCCCCGGGTGAGGGTGGTGGGGCCGGGGGGGAAGGGGGAGGCAGGTAGCGTCGCCTCCCGGCCGAAAAGTGCGAGGCGGGATGGGGCTGGCATCGGCCTCGCCGCCGGGAAAGGCCCTTCCCGGGGCGGGCAGCCCCCGCCCGGCCGGCGGGATGCGGTGGCGGGTCGTGGGTGTGCGCTGTCATCCGCGCCCGGCTGCGGGTGCCGCCTTTGTGCCTCGGAGGTCTGTGCGGGATGGGACCCCCGTCCGTGTCCCTGAGCGCTGCCGCGGGTGGGGGGTGGCGGTGGGGGGGAGTCGCTCTCCAAGGAGCAGATGGGCCCCGGTGGGTTACGGGCTGAGCCGTCGGCCTGTCGTCTGAATTCCACTAGCGAGCAAATAGTGTAGAATTATGATGAGCGACGTGCCGGCGGGGATTGACATCATTTGGGGGATATGGATGCGCGCAGGCGTTGATGAAGAGTCCCGCGCTGAATTTTCGGTGGTTACGTCCCTTCCTTGTAAAAGCAGAAGCCCCCAGGTCTGGTTCTTGGCTCCTTGACAATGCAGCAAAATTTAAAGCACGAACTGCTTTTTCCCCCCCTGTTCTGTTGCTGTAAGCCAATCTTGTGACTTCATATTTTGGTTATTACCTTGTGTTATTATGTAACTGCATTTTTGTTAGCAATTAAATAAAATAACTTATAAGTATGTTAAGAACATTGCCCTCGCCCGTAGCATTGTCGAATGCTGCGTTTCTCAATTTGCAGCCTGCATAGATAATGGTTTATACTGACACAGGCAGTACAATTCGTTTTGTTCTTTCTTGCATCGTTTCCCGTGTGTTTCTCTGTAGTTGCAGAAGAAATTACTTGGCCTGGGTTTAGATTTTTGCATCCTGCTGTTTGGAGCTGCAGTAGTGCCTCTTTTTTTTTTTTTTTTTTATGCTGCACTCAGCAGAAGTGCGTAGTGAGACTGTACAACAGTCAGTCAGGCTGTGCTCCTGTCCCTGTGTTTACCAGCACTACCTTCTCATTTTGAGGGGTACCCAACCCTGTCTGGATATGGCAGGAATTAGGGGCAGGGTGCTGCTGTGCCAGTCGTGCCACATAGCAGGTGGTCAGCTGCGCCTTTCTGATTAGTGCTCATGCGAGGATTGCAGTTATTACAGTAATTCATTTTGGCTAGGGGATTCATTTTGGAAATTTGGATTTTCCACTAAGAAGGGATTATCATTTCTCTGCATAGTATGTGTGTTTTATGAAGAAGTGGAGTGTGTGTTTTATGAAGAAGTGGAGTACAGTATGTATCCTGGCTGCTCTCTCTGTTTCTTTTCTGTCTGTCTTTGAAGCGCACGCCCATTTGGACAACACAGGTGCAATGTTGATTTTCATGCTGGAAGTAGATGTAAGAAGCAGCACACAGCCAACACAACACTCATCCTGTTGATGTAGTCTCAGTCTAGTACAGGGGAAAAGAGTATCTGTTCTTACAGAGGAAATGAGGGGTCCACTTACTTGTTTGTTTCTGGAGGGTGAGCAGGGAGTTAGAACAGAGTGGTTGGTCAGATGGGCAGTATTTGTGAGCAGCGAGCAGCATGTGAGTCAGGGGTGGATGGCATATTTTGTCACTTGTGTGATACAGTCGCTAATGTGTTTCTGACTTAATGTGACCTGAGCTTTGGACTTCTAAACTTTTGGTATCAGTCAGCTCTTTCTTGTCAGCTTACTCATTTGAAATCAGAGCAGACCAGAGCATGAACTGATGCACTCAGTGACTTTATCAGTAACTGTCAATATCTAAATGTGATGGTGATTTATCTGAAAGCAAACTGTGTACGCTTGCTCAGAACATCCCAAAGAATTGATCCCAAATTCATATGCTCAGTATTTTAAATGCATTCTAGTAAATAATATGGTACTTATTGTGTTCCAATAAATAAATGGCTAAGATTTGTTCCTAAAGTGCAATCTTTCAGTGGCTTTGTGTTTCATGCACATGGCATGTGATCTAGCATTCTTTGCCATTGTAAGATAATCTCTGTGAAGCTTCATGGAGTTTTGCACGTGCTGTTTGATGCTAATTAACGTTCATTCGAGGTAGTGCTAAATCCTTCTCCCTGTCTCCTTTTGAACAGTCTTCTTACAAACGATGCAATGACTTGAATAAATAGTACAAGCAAAATTTACTTTATTAGCAGCTTTTTGAAATACTGCAATTCAAGTTGCAAGAGTGATGGTGTTGAACAGTTGGTGTTGGGCCAGGAGATGTTCTGACAAAGAGGTTAGATTGTCTATGTTTTAAAGCTGTTGGATCTGTCTCGTGGATGCAGGCATTAAGGTCGCCCTGTGGTTTCAGCTCTGAAAAATGCTTTAAAAAAAAAAATCCAGCAAAACAACCTCCTATTTCCCTTCCAGTTAACCATATTGTAAAGTTCAAACAGAAAGGCTTTTAGTAACTAAAAACGGCAATTATTCTGAAGTTTCTTTGTGATGATAGACTTTGCCAGAGAATGTAACTTGTCTTCACAGCGACTTTTGGTCTTTCAAAATGTCTCTGTGGTCCTAAGTCTTTACCTGTGTAGTTTCCTCCAAACTTAGGAGGCCTGGCTTCAGCATGTATAGATCACAGCCTTTGTGGGCCTCTAGAGACAGGGAGGAGAACTCGAGCCTTATAGAAGTGCTCTGGCTTGCTCTCCCTCCTGTTCTGCAGAAGGGATGCTTGCCAGCCTAAGCCGAAGTTACGTCTTTGTGAATAGCACCCCAAACAGTTTCACTGGGTATCTGTGTATACGTGTGGCTTCCACGAATGGATTGTACCTGCAGCTGCCACAGCTTTCCAGCATGTACAGCTGTGATCCTGTGATTGCACTGGGAGTCACCATCACCTCAGATGCTCCCTGGCCTCCAGTGGCACCTGTGCTGCCAGGAACGTTGCTGTAGCGTTGGCTGTTTCCATCAGATTGGCTTGAAGTAGCTGGGGGATGATCCTGCTCATACGGGTTTGTGTATCTGCCTATTAGCAGGAAAAGGAATTGTGACGCCCCCTTTTCTTCAGGATGTCTGTTGTTTGTTTACGCTCAGCAGCTTTCTCGGTTTTGGCAATAAGGAGATGAGTCAGTTTTGCTTCTGTTTAAGGCTTTTTTTACCCATTTCCCTTGTAACATTTCATGTGCTGTTGTGATTCTGCAATGGCTGAGTGGCAAATACTGCAGGGTTTTGGTTTAATTCCTTAGAAATATATTTCTGTTGGCCTTAGATATCATGACCATTAGTTCTAATAAAGTTTAGAATAGACTAGATCTTATGTACTTACGTATTTGTCCTAAAGCACAAATATTTTGTTTTCTGCTGGTAATCTCAGGAGGGTGAGGGTCATGCAATTCAAGAAAAATGAAAGTACAACCAGTAGCAAACAGCAAGATGGGATACCACCTACTCCAGCTGATGTTTTCTAGATGAGATTTGAGGCCAGCAAGATGCTTAGAGTTAATTAAGAAGAAATGGCAAATTTCTTTGATGCGGGGAGCCCAGGGTCATTTTCCTTACAGTTAATGAATGGTGACTAGGCAGCTGTATAATGGACTTGTGAGTCAGTCTTGGACTTTTTTGATCAGCTATGCCTGGCTAGGGTATCCCATTGTTAGCTCTGAAGTAAGAGGTGTAGGTTTTTCAGGCAGGGTTCCTTAGGAGGTGCTGGGACTGTCCCTTGGCAAGAAGGTGTCCTCATCTCAGATGTCTGTGGAATATGGACCGGTAAGACTGGTCCAAATTACAGGCAAAATAGTCTGCTGTCCTGGGAATCAGACTGCTGTGTGCAAGAGGCTGACTGTGGCCCCATGGCCTGCTTTTGCTTTGGCAAGAAGGAGGAGTTGGGTTGAAGCAGGGCAGCAGCTGAGCCTGGAGTGGAATTCCCTTGCTGCAGTACCTGTTGCAGCTCCCATTTGTCCTCTCCCTCCAGTGGTAGCAGCAATAGAAGCCACCATCAGCTCCTCAGGGCTCTCCTTTCCCCAACTTTCCACTTTATAATCTCACCCTCCTTTTCCACGAGTTAGAAGCAGCCTAAGCTTGATTCCAGCCCCTCATCCTTTTGTCCAGAACATTGCCTACAATGCAGATAAACCTTGAGATGGCTTGGGGGTTGGGGTGGAGTGATATGGCAAGCTGTTCCTTTTAGATCTTAAAAAAGGGGGAAATCCTGGTGGTTGTGTTTGAAATATCGAAGCTAGTGATCAGCGCTGTGTTCCCCAGGGAATCGCTACTCTCCATTGTATTGCAAAGTTCTCTGAGGACGCAGCAGCACAGGCAGCGTTCCCTTGCTGCAGAGCAGAAGGTCTGTGGGAGAGAGCGTGTGCACAGCAGTCAGAAAGCCTATTATTGAGACCTACGCTGAGGTTTCATTTTGTGCATTTAGCAAAACAGGCTCTCTCTTTCACACTTTCCAGATATTTTTATATTTCTCTGCAGATGCTTGCAGAACACTAACATTTGTTTGGTTTGAAGCCCGAATTAAAATTCCTAACCAATGTCTGGAAGCAAAAGAAAAAAGGCAAGTATTTCTCCCAGAATTAAAACCCATTTAAATTTGAGAGTTGTTAACCCATGAAATAGTGGTGCAATAAAGAATGTCTCTTGGACTGAATCACTTGTGTTTAAAATGGAACATGCTCTAAAAATAAATGGCTAATTGCTTCAATGTAGTCAATATGGAATTTAAAGATGACTGACAGAGTGATTTGTCATCCATCTCCATAGCAGAAATCATCTGGGAAGTCTGTGATGTTAAAGGCATTTGTTTCTATTAGCACCTTTTAAAGTAGTTTTGTTAATGAACTCTTGAGCACCAGGACTGAAATATGTCATGTGGTATAATTAATTTTTCTGTATCATAGGAAAATGTTGCCATGTGCAACTTCAATTACAGAATCAGGTTCCTCAGGTCCTGAAATGCGTGGTTCAGCATGCCTGTTTTCTTAAAGAAAGCTTGAGAAGATCTGATGT